GGGGTAACTGGAGCCAGCCCTCAGAGGCCTGCAGCTCCACCCTGTCCTTGGAGGGGTGTCCACCCTGTCTTTGGAGGTCCCCAATCCCTCAGGCCTCCCTGACCTGGGGTCTCCCACCTGCCTCCCCTGCCCAAGTCCTGGGCTTCTGAGTGGGAGACGGGTGTCCCAGAATGCCCAGGGGAGCCTTTGTCCCACTGCCTCACCCCGAACTCTTCATAGAGCTTCGTCACGTAGAAGAAAAGGGCTGTCACCAAGGCCAAGGCAGACCTGGCCGTGCCCACACTGCCCCTGGGCCAGGGCCGGCGAGACGCTAGACCCAGCAGAAGGGCAAGGACAGCCGGCCAGCAACCTGGACAGAAGGGCCTGCACGGGCCGCAGTCCTTCCGCCTCCTGAGTCCTGGCAGGAGTCCCTTCCCTCATCCACGAGATCGGGGACGGGCAGGCTGCTGGCGTGTGAGAACGGAGCAGCCCTCGCTTGAGCACCCCAATGGGCTGCTGGCGCCACCAAGGACCCCATGCTCAGCTCCCTGGTCACCCAGGTCAGGGATTTGGGGGTTAAATGTCTCTGAGGTTCATGGGAGACCCCCAGGGGAGAAACAAGGCTTTTGGGGAGGCAAAGACACCCGGGGCCAGGAGGGGTCTCACAGCCAGGACGGGTCTCGTGCTGTCTGCAACTTGGGGGAAGTCAGGCTTAGGGGTAACAGGAACGAGACAGCCACCAGGCCACTCTGTGAGGCCGAGCTTCACCCAGTCCTCCCCGGCCTCAGAGCGCCACGCACCCCTCCCAGGACAGGGCGAGGAAACGCCAGCTAGGAGGTTCCTAGTTGAGTTTATCTTCCCAATTCCAGGGCGCAGGGTGGTGCTGAGCCGGGCTGCGGTCCCTCCACCCACCCCCAACATGTAGAGGCAGCCACGTCCACACGCGTGACCTCGGCACCCAAAGCTCAGGGCTCCCCTGTGGAACCCCAGGGGCCTCCCCTTCCTGTCTCTGAGGAGGCGCCTGCCTGCAGCCAGCGTTACCCTCAGACCCTCTGATGCCAGGTCTGACGTCACAGGAGGCAGCTCTGTGTTGACACCATGATTGCAGAGCCACGCCACGTGTGTCACCCACCCGCCAACTGGCCTTCTCCTGAACCAGGCACACAAACCCTGCCTGCCTCCCTGACACAGTACCAGGGTTCCTGGTGACATGTCGTGCTCCTGGACCCACTCTCAGAGGGATGCACGTCTGCTGCCTCCGCGGCCTTCGTGCCGAGGGCCCTCTCCACGCCATCTGCTTCCCCGGCCTCCTTCCTGGCTGGGCTCTGCTCCCGTCCTGCCCTCCTGCTGCCCAACCCTGGGCCTGGCCGTGGTTTGGCCACTTAAAGAGGGTCTTCCCCTTCTCTTCGGCTCGGAGGGGGGAGGAAGGTGGAGATCCCGGTAGGAGCTCCTGGGACACAGCCCCGCCCAGGACCCAGGGCTTCGGTCGCCTGAACACTTGCCAAGACACGAGCACGTATTCGAGAAACACCACCACCACCAAGGTTTCACATCTGTAGAACTTCACAGAATGAGCGTGTGAATTACAAGGAGATGTAGAGTTACGCAAATTAAACCAAATCCAGATGCAGAGACGCCCTGTCACGGAAACACAGCAGCATTATCGCTGGCCTCGGGTAAAAGCTCGCGGCAGGGTAAGGGCTGGGGTTAGATGCAGCACGGTGCCCCCCCCACAAGCCCGGCTGGCCACGGCCAGGCCACAGCTTCCCTCTCCTCCCTCTAAAGAAAGGGGCTGTTAAGCAAGTGAGGAGGAACCACCCCACTGCCCACAGCCACTGGCACGGAAGGGGACTCACCTGCAGGCGGGGTCCCGCCAGACCAGTGGAAGCCGGGGCAGGACGTTCTGCAGAAAGCTCCCTGCTGACCTTGACCCCGAGCCAGACTGAGCCCCAGACCAGAAGAGGACCCCTCCCCATGCGGAGGAAGCCCCGCTTCTGTGCAGCCACTCCCAGGCCAGTCACCACCGGGGCCACCCACGCCTTCCACCAGGGCAGCACCCTCTCTCCAGTTCCCGAAAGCAACCACTCCTTTGTAGGGCTGGCCTACGGCCCCCCTTTGAAACCCGCCTCCACCTCCCACCTCCACCTCTACCCCACCAAGCTGATGAGATTAAAAAATATCCATTTGCTTTGCTAAGGAGAGAGAGTAATTTAAAATAAACCACTTCCTCATTTTCTGAGTTAGTAGCTTCTTTTACAGAAAAGGACCCTGGAAAGAGACACCCAAAAGGCCAACCAAGACCTCAATTTGCGAGCAGCAGCACCTCCGGAGAGTGGCTGCTCTGTGTTCATTCAGATGATTGCGCTCGCCCCTTCCTGAAACTTCCCCACTGGGACCACCGTGGGCAAGACCAGAGCAGAAGGGAAAAAGACCGCGCGGGGGGTGGGGCCGTGGAGCCTGCCAGGGCTGGTTCTTGGGGAGAAATCCCACGAAGAGGGTCCTGGGCACTCCCCGAAAGCTTCCTCCCCTCCCCTCCCCCGGCTGGCAGGGAGGCCTCTCCACTCCTCACCTCCTCACGGGCCGACAGGGTCCAGGGAACGGAGCAGTGAGCCGCTGGCAGTCCAGGCAGTGTGTGCCACAGTCAGAGCTGGGAGTTTGGACACCGACTCCCTCGGATGTGACCCCGGGCAAGTTACTCGACCTCTCCTTGCCTCGGTTTCCCTATCTGAAGAACGGGGATGCCAGCCTAGTCTCTGATTACTGTGATGCCCAAACAAGCTAATCAGCACCCACAAAGCCCTCTATGTGTGTCTGGCCCACAGGAAGCTCAGTTGGTGACAGCTGGTCATCACTATTCTCTTTGGCCACGAGTAGCTGTCTTCCTCAAAACTGTCACTGGCTGGGGGGTGGCCAGCCAGGTGTGCTAGCCAAGGAACCGCTAATCGGAACCTGTGCATGTGAGGCCCATGGGGCGGGCAGGACCAGCCACTCTCGGGGACACTCCAGGCCTGCACTGCCCTCCAGAGCCCAAGCTGGCAAACAGCGACCAGACCAGCAACCACAGAAAGCACTTCCAGCTGTCACAGCTCTAGAGCGAGGCTTCTCACCTGCCGTCCAGAGCTGGTACCCTGGGCACCAGCAAGACGCACATGGTCCTGGGGCAGTCCAAAAACCGGCAGTTGTGGCCCCTTGTCCTGTCCCTGGCTCCTCCCCCTCACGCTAGAGGGAACATCACTCCCTGCCCTTCCGCCTGGCCACGACTCCCACCTGGAAGGCTCTGTCATCAAACGGCCATCCCCTCCAGCTGCCCTCATCCTTCCTTCCGAGTCCAGGGGCCTGGGCACTGCTGGGGCTCCTGGGCAGGCCATTCTCATTTGCAATGAGTGGAAGCTCAGCTCCTCCAATCAGCCTCCCGGGTCAGCTAAGGCTGTGAGGAGCCCCAGGGCAAGGCCTCCACGCAGATCATGCAACCCCTTCACACCTAGACCCCCCCCAGCACTCTCTGCACCACCCTGAGTGCACGCCCTGTCTTCTCTATCCAGCAAACTCCTACTCATCCTTCAGAGCCCCCCTGATAGCCTAGCCTTCTCTGCCTGTCCCATCTAATCTCTGCGACAGAACTAACGGCAACTCACCCCATGTTCCCAGAGCTCTTTGCACCAAACACCACCAAAGCCCACAAGCCATCGTATTAGTCACCTGTCTTACATCTCATGAGCCTGGTGCCCAGCCTGTGAGATGCCCACCTTTAAACCCCGGCCATGAAGTGCTGACTGCCTGGGCAGGAGGGGCGGAAGAGGAGGGCACACACACTCTGGGTTGCAGGTAAAGGCTTGGCCAGTGTCCTGTGCCCAGCTGTACCTCACTAGAGTGCTGCCATCTAAACTCCTGAAGCCAGAGGATGTCCCCTCCCACTCGCCTCCCGGCTCAGAGAATGTGGTCTCAGTCAGGGCTGACTCCCAGGGGTTGCCCCCAGGTGGCCCGGCCCGGTCTTCCCGTGCAGAGCCTGCCAAGCGCCTGGTGCGTGGAGACGGAATGTGGAAACACCGTATCCTTCTGCAGCTCCCCCAGCTCCCCTCCGCAGGGAAAGGCCGGCGGGGAGGCTTGGGGGCAGAGGGGACCCCAGGCAGGAGGCAGGGCAGGCAAGCCGGGCGGTGGGAGCCACAGTTGCCTGGGAAGGGGAGGAGCTCTGGGCGGGTCTACCTGCTCCTCACCGGCCCCGCAAGCTGCCCGGGGAAGGCCGAGCCACCCCAGAAGGCGCAGGCCCACACGCCGCTCTGCAGAGACCTTCCTGGTTCCTCTAGCCGTCCCCTCACTGCCACCACCAGCCCCATCATGACCCCAGCACCAGCGGCACATTCCTATCTGTCGGACGAATGAATAAATGAACTCTTGCCAGTCCAGCCACCTGGTTTCAGGGCTCCGCAGCCATTCAACGAACTGTTTTCTCCCAGAAGCCAGTACTGCACGTAATTTCAAACTTCTGGAAGGCACTGGAGAGTGCCACGCCTGCAGAGCATGAGCTTGGAGCGGCCACTCAGAAGCCGCACACCGAGAAGCGGCAGGTGTCTGCAGTGCGGGAAAGCGCCCTGGACCGAGTGCAAGGCCTGCGTCTGGGCCGGGGGTCCGGTCCGCGCCACGGAAAGGTTGTGACCCCAACCCGTCCCCTCCGTCGGGTACCCGGGTGTCTGCGGCCTCGCCGCCCCCTGCGCTCCGCACCCCCGCCCCGCGGCCGCGCGCCGACCGAGGCCCACGAGCCTTCCCCGCCTCCCAGCGGCGCCTCCGGCAACCGCAGCCGCGGCGTCCGGGGACCGAGGAGGGCCCTGGCGAACGGCAGGAGGGACGAGGCTCGGGCCGGGGGCCCCTCGCGGCCGCGCCTCCCTCCTCCGGCTCCCTGCGAGGCGCGGGCGGTCCCGAGCGGCCGGCCGAGTCCGCGCCCAGGCGGGCAGCGGTGCCGAACCCGGGCTCCGCGCTGACCCAGGACGGCGCGGGCGGGAAGCGCGGGGCGAGCCGCTACTCACCGGCTCCAGCCGCGGCGGGGTGCGCAGGTGC